GCCAATCCCATCCCATTTTGGGCCAATTTTGTCTCTTTTTGTGCCAATTCCATCCCATTTTGGGTCAATTCTGGCTCTTTCCGGGCCAATCCCCTCCCTTTTTGGGCCAATTCCCTCCCTTTTTGGGCCAATCCCCTCCCTTTTTGGGCCAATCCCCTCTGTTTCGGGCCAATTCCCTCCGTTTTTGGGCCAATTCCCTCCCTTTTTGGGCCAATCCCATCCCTTTTTGGGCCAATTTTGGCTCTTTTCGGGCCAATTCCCTCCCTTTTCGGGCCACTTCCCTCCCTTTTTTTGCCCGTTCCATCCCTTTTTGGGGCAATTCTGGCTCTTTTCGGGCCAATCCCATCCCTTTTTGGGCCAGTCCCATCCCTTTTTGGGCCAATTTCATCCATTTCGGGCCAATTCCCTCCCTTTTTGGGCCAATTTTCTCCCTTTTTGGGCCAATTCCATCCCTTTTTGGGCCAATTTTAGCTCTTTTCGGGCCAATTCCCTCCCTTTTCGGGCCAATTTTCTCCCTTTTTGTGCCAGTCCCATCCCTTTTTGGGCCAATTTTGGCTCTTTTTGGGCCAATTCCCTCCCTTTTTGGGCCAATTCCCTCCCTTTTGAGCCAATTGCAGCTCCTGGGGGTCAACTTCAGGTGTTTTGGGGCCAATTCCCTCCCTTTCCGGGCCAATCCCATCCCTTTTTGGGCCAATCCCATCCCATTTTGGGTCAATTCTGGCTCTTTCCGGGCCAATCCCATCCCTTTTTGGGGCAATTTTGGCTCTTTTCGGGCCACTTCCCTCCCTTTTTTTGCCAGTCCCATCCCTTTTTGGGCCAATTTTGGCTCTTTCCGGGACAATCCCCTCCCTTTTTGGGCCAATTCTGGCTCTTTTCGGGCCAGTCCCATCCCTTTTGAGTCAACTCCACCCCTTTTTGGGCCAATTCCCTCCCTTTTTGGGCCAATTGCAGCTCCTGGGGGTCAACTTCAGGTGTTTTGGGGCCAATTCCCTCTCTTTTTGTGCCAATTCCATCCCTTTTTGGGCCAATTTTGGCTCTTTCCGGGCCAATCCCATCCCTTTTTGTGCCAATTCCATCCCTTTTTGGGCCAATTCTGGCTCTTTTTGGGCCAATCCCATCCCTTTTTGGGCCAGTCCCATCCCTTTTTGGGCCAATTTCATCCATTTCGGGCCAATTCCATCCCTTTTTGGGCCAATTTTCTCCCTTTTTGTGCCAGTCCCATCCCTTTTTGGGCCAATTTTGGCTCTTTTTGGGCCAATTCCCTCCCTTTTTGGGCCAATTCCCTCCCTTTTTGGGCCAATTCCCTCCCTTTTTGGGCCAATTCCCTCCCTTTCCGGGCCAGTCCCATCCCTTTTTGGGCCAGTCCCATCCCTTTTTGGGCCAATTTCATCCATTTTGAGTCAACTCCACCCCTTTTTGGGCCAATCCCATCCCTTTTTGGGCCAATTCCCTCCCTTTTCGGGCCAATTCCATCCCTTTTTGGGCCAATTCCAGGTCCTGGAAGGGCAATTCCAGCTCCTGGGGGTCAACTCCAGGTGTTTTTGGGCCAATTCCCTCCCTTTTTGGGCCAATTCCCTCCCTTTTTGGGCCAATCCCATCCCTTTTTGGGCCAATTTTGGCTCTTTTCGGGCCAATTCCCTCCCTTTTCGGGCCACTTCCCTCCCTTTTTGTGCCAATCCCATCCCATTTTGGGTCAATTCTGGCTCTTTCCGGGCCCATCCCCTCTGTTTCGGGCCTATTTCCTCCCTTTTTGGGCCAATCCCATCCCTTTTGAGCCAATCCCCTCCCTTTTTGGGCCAATTTTCTCCCTTTTTGGGCCAATTCCCTCCCTTTTTGGGCCAATTTTCTCCCTTTTTGTGCCAATCCCATCCCTTTTTGGGCCAATTTTGGCTCTTTTCGGGCCAATTCCCTCCCTTTTTGGGCCAATTCCCTCCCTTTTTGTGCCAGTCCCATCCCTTTTTGGGCCAATTTCCTCTCTTTTCGGGCCAATTCCCTCCCTTTTTGTGCCAATCCCATCCCATTTTGGGTCAATTCTGGCTCTTTCCGGGCCCATCCCCTCCGTTTCGGGCCCGTCCCCTGTGCTGGGCCCTGAGGTGTCCGTGTGTCCGGCAGTTCTACGGGTACCTGTCCCAGCAGCAGAACATGATGCAGGATTACGTGCGCACGGGGACGTACCAGCGAGCGATCCTGCAGAACCACAGCGACTTCAAGGACAAGGTGGGCACTTTTGGGTCCGTTTTGGTGGGGTTTTGGGGTGGTCTGAGTTGGGTTTTGTTGAGCTTGGTTTGGATTTTGGTGGGAATTGGAAGTTTTTGGGTTTTTGGTTCAGTTTTTGGGGGGTTTTGGGGTGATCTGAGTTGGGTTTTGTAAAGCCTGGCTCGGATTTGGGTGTAAAACTGAGGTTTGGGGGTGTCTGGTTCAGTTTTTGGGGGGTTTTGGGGTGATCTGAGTCGGGTTTTGGTGAGCTTGGCTCAGATTTTGATGGGAATCTGAGGATTTTTGGGTTTCCAGCTCTGGTTTTGG